CTATGCCTTAATTGGCATTTTGTCTGACTACGGGGCATCTGGGCATCAGATGTATACAGCCTCCCAGCTTCTCATTAGGAAGGATTATGACTTAATGTACCAGGTATCCAAAGAGAAGCAAAAATACATCATGAATGAATGTAATGCACTGAGGGTACAGCCTTCCTTTGGGCAAATATACTTCTTTAGGTAGGCATTATTGTCATCAACAATAGCATCATCTTCTGTTTCTAGCTTCATTCAGAATCATTAAAAATATGCATGGTAGAATTCACCTCCACTTGCCCTAGTGAGGCTGAAGGGACTTTACATAGTCAGGTTGCTTACCTGTAACTCTGAGTAGCCATCTGGGCATTCACACCACAACCCTGTGAGGTAGGCCAGGCTAGGCGTCAACGGCAGGCCCAAGGTCACCTTATGGCCTCCTGATGTCATCCGAGAGACTGTTGGATTCTTCAGAGCCTCCGCATTAAGCTCCCGCGATGGCTGTGATAAGGTTGCAACTGGGCCTTGGAGAAGGCATAGACAGCCCGCCAGATCAGGGCCAGACTTGCTCAACGGAGGAGCTACATCTGGTGAAGGTCAGGTGTTTGTGAGCTGCAAGTGGGCCCCCATGGGTGGCAACAGCAGGCAGCAAGTGGGTGCTGCAGGTGCCTGTGGCAGCAAGCCACAAAATTAACTCATAGAACCACACGCAGCTCCTGTGGCTCAGCTTGGCCTCCCTTGCTCTAGGTAAAGTCCTGGGTGCAAGGTGTGACGGCTGCAGAGATGGCTGCTATTGCAGCTTGCTCTTTATACTGGATGCTCATAAGCCTCAAAGCTCAGAGGGTTACATGCCCTGCTGTGGGGGCCACTGGCTTGCACCTTCAGGGAACTTCATGGTCAAGTGGGAACACAGATGCCTGTCTCCCCGGCATCAGCCTGCATGGGAAGTGGCGCTGGAGGATGCATCTTTTGGCGGAAGTTCCATGCTGCATTCTTTGGTAGAGATCCCATGGCTTAAAGATGAAACCATTTGCCGGAGGTGTATCTTATCCATAAGGACGTGTTATTTTGGAGTGAAAAAGAATGTGTCCTCTTGGAATGTAGGATCCCTATGACATGTGAAGCTGTGCATTTGCCACAGTTTATTATAAGGGAGGCACAAACAGTATATAAGCCATGAGGTTGATAAATAACCCTTCAGAAATGGTTGTGTTTAATTGCAAGAACTTCTTAGCCCCCAGGGGTTGCAGGTATGTGAGTCCTGATAGTTTAGTGGGTGATGAGCCTCAACACAGACATGAACTGTGGCGGTACTGGCTATCTTCAGCAGTCTCTGGGTTGCCACTTTTGGAGTTTCTGGTGCAGAAAGGAGAACTGGACTGCTCTGCTTACTGTACAGTACTGTGCTTACACAGTACTGTATGCTATGCTCTGTCTTTTCCCTGATTACAGAGTATGTTGTACTGTATTATTTAGCCTTGTTAATAACCTGCGTAATCTGCACCCACTGTTGTGCCTACTGCTTCTGGAACTTAATAAAAGAACCACTTGCCTCCCGGTGGGACCCAGTCCTACACACTATGCAGTAAAGTGCATCAGTTCTTGCATGCGGCAGTGCCCCACAAAGCCATTCGAAAGGTCCTGTGGCATTCAGACTCCCTGGGCAGAATAGCTCCCTGTTGCTGCTGTTCTTACTCATCTCTCAACAGCTTCTAGAAGGGAGACTGGCTTAGGGTTCTGGTCTTTGGAAGAAACTGTAAGGAGGAAGAGAAACCTATGCTTTCATTTAATCTGGTTTTATACAAGTGCACCATACTTTGGTAAGACATATAATTTCCTAGCCTACAGAATCACTTCTATTCAGAGGCTGCCTGTTTGTCTAAGTTATATGAGCACAAGTCATTCAGAATATCTATCGATACAGGTTCCATTTATAGGAACAACAGTGAAAACATATTCTAAGTATGACCTTGCTTTTGTTAGCCTCATACCAATCCCAAATTATTGGGCTTGTCTACAGAAGGCATTTATTGTGTGCATGTCATTCCTGACTCACAGCTTTTATGGGTTTTTAGATGATGTCATGACCTGATTTTACTTCTGTGTCTAACCAGCACTTCAGCCAAGTTCTTTCAGAGCTGGGAACATGTGACATTTAATTGATAAAGCAAAAAAACCCACTTTTTCACTTATGTATTTCTGTTATACCACAGTGTCACCTAGACTTCCGTAGCAGAAGAGCAGAAAATACTTTTGTGTAGTGCTTGGATTTTAATTCTGTTTTGAAACCGCAGGCAGATGCATAGGATTAATAGTGCATTAATAGCCTTGCCTAGAAAAGCTCATTGTGACCAGCACAACTTGGTGTCATCCAGATGCTCTAGACTACAATTCCCAGAATTCTTGAGCATTAGCCATGCTAGTTGGACCTGACAGGAATTAAAGTTCAAAACATCTGGAAGGCACAAGGTTGAGGGAGGCTTTTAATCCCGCCATTGTGCACTGTGGCCTGAAAGAGAAACACCACAACTTTATGACAAAAATATACACTCAGAATAAGGTTGTGGCTTGATCCAGTTTACTCTGGGAAAGGTTGGGCTTAATTTTGGCTGAAATGTTCTTTCTTGTGTTTTACCCTAAATTACCTATTGTAGCTTAATCCAAACTACATCTGATTCCCTTAAGACAGGAAAGAACATTTTTAAAGTATGTTCCATAATCCCAAACATTCTGCTTTTGTATCTTCTTTGCTCAAAAGTAACAGGGCAGCAACCCTAAATGACAGGGTGAGTAATCAGTAATGCTTCAAAAGTTGCTGGACCACAGCTCACATCATCTCTGAACACTGGTCCCATTGGCCATGGGGCAGAAAAATAATAATTTAAAACTTTCGGCAACCTTGGGCAGCCCTTCCAAGGTGCCACTGGGGCCTTTGAAAGGACAACCTGCAGCTGTTAGTCTGGGATCGTGAAAGCTGCCTTGACAACCAGCTTTCAAGAGCTCAAGGGGGGAAAGGGGCCAAGTGAAAAAAGGTGGCTTGAGACTCTGCTGGGGAGGGGAGAAGCTAATATGAGTGTCCCCCCCAAGAGCAGCTGGGGCACTTCTGGGTGGGCTGGCACTAGCTGTTTCCACATCGTGCTCGGCAAAAGTACCTAGCGGTTTTTACTGCTTTTGTCAAGTGCTTTTAGCAAGGCACTATCAACGGCATCACTCTGCTGGGTATAGATGACAACCCGTTGTGGGAACAACAATGCCTAGAGCACGTTAAAGGTTATCAAAAAGGCCATCCTGCAGAAGCAGTCTTGGTTTGGTCAACATGACAAACTATCATGGATAGCAACCCACAAGGAGGTGCTGAGCTGTGTGAACAAAGTCCAGCATGGTATGTTGTTATTGTCTGGGAGTCCAGTTTCGATGTCTAGAAGTGGTCCTTTCATGTAAGCCTACATGTAAGCCTGCAACTGACCCCTTTGTGTTGGACCCCAATTCCAACAAAGGGCAAACATACTGGTCAATGGTTGGTACAGGGAGGCAATGGCTGGGTTCACACCATGCGACAAGCCATGGTAGTTCAGACGCCTGGAATGGCTTGTTGCATTGTCTGAACCCAGCTGACCTAAAGGGGGCATGTAGGCACTTCTTATTACAGTTCCATCCCAGGCTTCCTGCCAACCCCAACACTCCCAGTCTAGTCCGCAGAAGCACTGACATCACTTCAAATGGATAAAGGTAGCGTTTAATATAACAATCTAGAATTTATAATAATGAAAGGCAGTAGTTAAAAGTTACCGTCAAAACATGACTACATTTGTAGATTGAATACAATTTGAAACAAAATATCTAGTTGGTCAGCAATGCAAACATAACTGTAGAGTTAAATAAGATGTTTTTAAGGACACCATACAAACCTATGTACTTTTCAGTGGGCATAGCTCTGCACAGCTGTAGTGATAACACCCTATAGCTACTTTACAGATTTTAAAATGGGGCAGGCCGAAAGTAGAGCAAGATCAACTGGTGGATTTCTGAGTGATTTCCAGCAGATCAGCCGGGGGCGCGATCAGGGCGCGATCCTATGCCGCTTTAGGCAAAATGCTGTACAACTCCTGGCAGCCACTCATGCCGGCTGATTTGGACAGAGGCAGAACTTCCTTTTCCCACCTCAGCATGTACAGGACTGCACCCTCAACAGCAATGGCAAGTTTCCCTTGCCCTCTAAATCACACTGTTAAACGGAAGAAAACAAGGGGTAGATTTTTGTGTGAAAGACCAGTGAACTGGTTCTGCTACTGGAACAAAAAAAGGAACTCTGCAGTCCTTTAATTCAAAGGAGCTGATCTCCCCCACTATTCTGACTGCTGGATCTTGCCAGTCAAGGCAAAAACAAAGTAGATTCTGTTGGCTTGAGCTCTGCCCACCCCCAGTCTAAGATGCAAGCAACTTACACCTGTCTTTTATCATACACACACATATATATTCATTCTGCATGTTAAGAGTATGGTTTTGGCCTACTAGGCCAAACACCAGGCAAAGGAAGACAAAGGGACTACTACCTTGAAACAGATAATTAAACAAATCACACTAAATCAGGGATGTAAAATTCTACAGGTTAGTTGGAAAATGCTTTTCATGCAATGAAGTGGTGGAGTACTTGTGATATCAATAAATGGGGGGTTTAAGTGCCACTGAGTAAATAACTCTCATGAGAAATGAGCAGTCTCCCGATTAAGGCTTGCTTCACAATTAGAAGAGCAATACAGAACATGGCAAGAATATTCAGAGTGAGGGAGCAGAGCTCAGGTAGACCTTCTGCATCATATGTATGAAGCTCTGATATTTGGACTCCAACCAGCTCCAGGACTCTGATATTTGGACTCCAGCTCGAAGAGGGTTCCTGGAACAAGCCTGAGGAGGAAGATGTCCCTCGGGTCGTAGAGAGAGATGCTCAAGATCCATTGTCAGCCCCAGATGACTACACTGGGCTTCACAGGTCATTTGGATGACTCACTATGAACAGCTTTTTATAGTTCTGTCATTTCTTTAACTGTTCCGGCTGCTGAGGCTGACATATCTTATGGATGGCAGGGCACCCTGTGCTTTTGTGTTGTTGCTTGGTAGCATTAATCACAATGCACTGCAGATGGCACTGTTGCTCAACAGGAGATAACCAAGTGGTTAGCCAAGGACTGGTGACCTGCAGCTTTCTCAGAAGGCTTGCTTTGAATGAGTTGACAGGCAGCCAGTTCATGGTAGAGGGTATCTAAGACTTCATCAATACGTGGTTTTCCTTTAAAATTAAGAAAAATGGTGCATTAGCAGGTTAGCAGAATCAAGACCATGAAGATTGAAACATCTTTAAAATGTATTTATTATTAGATTTGTTTGAAGGCCACCCATTTCTGATTAATTGCCAAATATGCACTCAGACTTTGAAGTGAAAAGATGTGTGAACAAAAGGAAGCACTTCTTCACATAGTGCATCATTTACTATCTCAAGTTGTAGAGATAGCCACCAACTTGGACAGTTTCCAAAGGCCGCACAGAGCTATCCATAGCTACTAGTTAATCATAATGGCTGCGTATTACTTCCAGTAGCAAAGGCTGGATATCTCTATGTGCCAATTACTCAGGAGCACAGTTGGGGGGGTGTTATTCCATTCATGTCCCACTTGGGTGCCTCTTATGGACATTTGGTTGGCCACTGTGAAACAGAACGCTGAACTAGACTGGCATTGGTCTGATCTGACACAGCCCATCCTATGCCTTCATTATCGTTCAGACCAAAATGGAACAAAATGAAGCAGCTCAGCTCTTTCCTGTGCTTCACAAGCTCTAATCATGACATCATCTTCCTTAAATGCTGCGTTTTGAAAAATGGTGCTCTAAAGCAAAATATCCCAAAACTATGGATAGACAGAGATGTAAACTTTGGCTGTAAAAACCCATCTGGTGCCTAAAAGCATATTTGGTTTCCACCACAGTGACAGAACATTGGCAATCTACTCTACAGCAGCCATTGGCTTTGTGCCGTCAAACAGGTTATGTCTGAATGTAGAGATGCGGGACCATGATGTGCAGTGGTGGGTATGAAAAAAGTTTGTGATTCAGTGGTTTAAATAAAAAAGCAGGCATGTATGGGCTTCATTTCTTCACATCGCAGAGCAGAAATAACCCCTGCTGCTGCTACTTCCATTTTTTGAACTGAAAAAATATAAAGAAAAAGCGCACCACCTGCATGAAGGTAGAATGGCATTTTAAGCCTGATATGGGGCGGTCAATAAAAACAGCTCATGTACAGCTCACGATTATATTTTGTGGGACATTGTTATGCTGTGCATTTCCCCACCATCAGCAGAAAGGCTGTAGAAATCCCAAGGATAAACATGTCAAACGTATTATTTTAGGTGGAGGCAAAGACCTTGCCTTCAGGGAGGCATTTCTGGATGCATAAATATAGATTAAAACACAAAACTTGAAAATACAAGATATATGCACAAATTTCCATCATCAAAAGCATATAAATTGAATTAAAGGCATACTCTCATATTGGACTTTGTTTAAGAACTCTTCTTAGATAGGATTCCATCATATTCATACTTTTAAGGCAACTATCCTAAGCAAAAGAAAAGCATGCTTGACAAGAAAGCTGGAAATGTTAGCATACAGCCAGATTATCTTTTCCCATTATTTAATACAACAGTAGTCACATAGCTGGAGTCAGCAAGTCATCTCATTAGCTAATGGAAGGCCATAAATAATGGTTCAGCTCTTTTATCACACTCTTTCCACATTCCCTTTCAGATTAAGGCAACCACATCCACTCCCCCTCTCTCTGACTCTCTTTTCATGTTACTTGACAGTACAATTTTATGCATGCTTACTCAGAAGTAAGCTCCATTAGGATGAATGGATCTTACTCCTAATTAACTGTGCATAAGATTGCAGCCTAGTATTACTTTCAACTCAACAGAATAGTATTTAGATAAAAAAGAGTTTGCATAGTAAAAAAAGGAGTACCAACTTAACTGTATCAGAATATGCGTACTAATGCCAGTTAACTTTTAACAGCCAGTTTTTAGCAGCAGAATTAATGCCTATTAACAGAGCCAGGCTTAGCTGTAAAAATGCATTTCACTGTGAAAAGCATTCATTTAGCTTGCTGGAATAGAGCAGTCTTTAACAAACGGTGGCAAATGGGCAGATGGGGCCAAATGAGTCCTGTGGGGCAAGGAATGCCATGGCCAGAGCGCAGCCGCTGTGTTTCTACCATAGTCAGGACACTAAGAAGTGCCTCAGGCTGGCTTCCTGCAGGGTAACAACATGCTATGCGTTTCAAGCACTGCCACAAAAATGGCCTGGATTTCAATACCGTCTCTTACTCACAGTTGCCATTTTTACCAGTGCAAGTGAGCAGTTTCAAAATGAGATCAAAAGTCTTCAGGAAATCTGGTTTGATGACCAGATTAATAGTGAAGTGCTTTCTTGTATCTTTCATAAAAAAACCTATTTCCCAACTATTAGTTGCCTGGCTTGAGGGGTATCTTACAGAATTGTAATATTTTTAAAAAGGGCTTTCAGAGTTTTGGCATTTTATGTTGCCCTTGATAATAATTTCAATAATAATTTCTTTTACGTACATTTTCATGGGTCAATTTTCTGCTCCCCAGTTATTTGCCACTGTGGTGGGTCCCCATTTCTGGGGAAAGGGATTCCTCTCCTTTCCTCTCCTTGTGCAATGTCAGTGAAAAAAAGTCCTTTGGATATTTGAGATGTTTAATAATTGCTTGTAATTCAGCCTGATTACTGGTGCAGTAAAGTGGTATTAACATTTTTAACCCTCTCTGCTAAACAGAAAAGGGGTGCAGGAGGGAATAGCAGCGGCATGAGCAGCAGTGGCTCCAGTGACGCCAGACCAACCGCGGTGCCGGCCCTCCTCAAGGCAGCCGGAGGAGGAGGTGGTGGCGGCCAGAGCCCCAGCCCGCACAGCCTGGCCCTCTCCGTGCTTCCGGCCAAGGCTCCCCGTCGCCATGGTGACAGCGCACCTCAACGGCGGCCTGGGCTGTAGCGCAGAGCCCCCGCAAAGCACGCCCATCAACCTGCAGACGAAGCTGGGCTGCAGTGCCCGTCGTGCACCTGCGGAGCCGGGATCTCATTCCCAGGTTTTAAATCAGTTAAGACTTCATTAAAATAACTAGCGTGCACCGGACGGGGCCCACCTCCTTCCGCGCCGCCCGGACCATCGCGTCGCCACTTTGCAGCAACGCCCCCGCGGCCACCGGCTGCCACACCGCCCCCCAGAGGCCAGGACCACCGGCCCAGGACCCGGCTCCGGCCTACCTCCCTCGCGCGGGACAGGGCAGAGCTCGGGGAGGGCCCTGCGACCCATAAAGCACCGGCCCGGGAGAACCAGCGCGCCGGACGGGGCCCACCTCCGAAGGGCGACAGCCAAAGGGCGGTCGCTGCCATTTGGGAGCCGTTCGGGGGCCGAGCGGGGGGCTGGGCTGGCCAGGGGCTATGTTTTAATTGGTCCACCTGCCGTGCTGCGCTGCTCTGTCACTGTTGCTGCCGCCGCCGCCAGAATGGAGCGTACTGCCGAGCCGGGGGCCAGCTGACGCCGCTCCTGCGGCCATCGTTGGACCATCCTGGGCACGGAGTACGCCAGGGCACGGAGTACGCCAGCTAGGCCCGCTGCCGATGGCGTGGAGGAGGATGCTGTCATCTTCCTGCCTAATGGGTTTCCGCGCCCCTCCCTGCTCCCCCTGCCGGTGCCGGTCTGGGGCAGGGCGGGCTTGGAGCTCCCTCCCCCTATGGACATCGGCCGCAGTCTGCGGCTCAGTTTTTCTGCTGGGCCGCACTGCGCAGTCACTGCCGCCACCGCCGCCGTCAGACTGGGGCACATCGCCGAGGGAAGGGGGAGTTTTTTTAATTGTTTTTATAATTTTATTGTATTTTAATCTGTGTTAATTTGTTTTTATGGAGTCGTCCCTGGCCATGTCAACGTTTGTGTTTCCTGGGGAGCGCGGGGGCGCCGCCATTGGGGTGGTCATGTGCAATGGATGTAATAGCGGTGGGGACTTAAAGTGTCCACGTAGAAGGAGGAAGGACAGATGGTTGACACCTGTCCCTCCTTCTGGTTCTGCCCCCAGCCAGAGGGTTCCAGGTAGTCTTGTCAACAGCCCCTCGGGCCTGACGGTGCTGTTGCTCAATGCCAGGTCGGTCAACAATAAATCTTCCCTCATCCATGACTTGATTGTGGATGAGGGGGCCGACCTGGCTTGCATAACGGAAACCTGGGTGGGAGAGAGGGGGGATGTCGCCCTCTCTCAAATGTGCCCACCTGGGTATCTGGTTCAGCACTGTTCACGCCCGGAGGGGAGGGGAGGGGAGGGGGGGTCGCTTTGGTTTACCAAGCCTCCATCTCTCTCACGGGACTTCTGGTCCCTTCGAGACCAGGGCTGGAGTGCCTCTACTTGGTGTTGGGCGACCGAGACAGATTGGGGATTCTGTTGGTGTACCGTGCACCCTTCTGCCCAACTGTCTCCCTGCCTGAGCTGACAGAGATCATCTCGGACCTGGTGTTGAGGACCCCCAGGATGTTGGTCCTGGGGGACTTCAATCTCCATGCCAAGACTGGTCTGACCGGGGCGGCTCAGGACTTCATGGCCTCCATGATGGCCATGGGGCTGTTTGAACATGTCACCGGCCCGACCCATGAACGTGGACACACTCTGGACCTGGTTTTCTCGACGGGGCAGGAAGAGGGTGGTCTGAGGGTGAGGAATTTATGTTTGACTCCCCTGTCATGGTCAGATCACTTCCTGGTGAGGTTTGTGCTTGAGAGCGACCTCTCCCTCTGCAAGGGTGCGGACCCGATTGTGTGGGTCCGCCCCTGGAGCCGGATGGATCCGGATGGATTCCTGAAGGCCCTGGGGGAGTTTCCGGCTGACAAGACTGGTGCTCCTGTCGAGGCTCTGGTCAAACTGTGGAACAGGGATATGACCAGGGCTGTGGACACGATCGCTCCTAAGCGTCCTCTCCCACCGGGCAGAGCCCGCTCTTCCCCTTGGTATACACCTGAATTGCGGGCGATGAAGCAGGTTGGGAGACGGCTAGAGCGTAGGTGGAGGAGATCACGGGATGAATCTGACCGAACACACTTGAGAGCCCATTATCGGGCCTATGCTGTGGCGGTGAGGGCGGCGAAAAAGAGGTTTTTTCCATTTCCATTGCCTCCTCAAAATGCCGTCCAGCGGAGCTTTTTCGAGTGGTACAAGGCCTGGTTCGTCCAGGTCCTAAGAAAAATCTGGTTCCACCCTCAAAGGCCCGCTGTGACGACTTTGCCATGCATTTCAGGGAGAAAATCGCTCAGATTCGTCATGAGCTAGACACCACTAGTGAATCAGAGGTTTCTGGGGAGACACCAATGCTGCCATCTGGTCCAGAATTATTGGATGAATTTCAGTTATTGCGGCCTAATGATGTGGACAAGGTGCTTGGACGAGTACGTCCCACCACTTGCCTATTGGACCCTTGTCCGTCTTGGTTAATAAATAATTCCAAGCATGGGATTGGGATCTGGATCTTGGAAGTGGTTAACGCTTCTCTGAGGGAGGGTCGGGTGCCTGCCCCTTTAAAGGAGGCGGTAGTCCGACCGGTCCTGAAGAAAGCGTCACTGGATCCAGAGATGGCCACTAATTATAGACCAGTGGCCAACATCCCGTTTCTGGGCAAGGTGTTAGAGCGGGTGGTGGCGGGACAACTCCAAGCTCTCTTGGATGAAACTGATTATCTGGACCCATTTCAGTCCGGCTTCAGACCCGGGTACGGTACTGAATCTGCCTTGGTCGCCCTGTACGATGACCTGTGCAGGGAGAAGGATAGGGGGAGTGCGTCCCTGTTGGTTCTCCTGGACCTTTCAGCGGCTTTCGATACCATCAACCATGGTATCCTTCTGGATAGGCTAGTGGGATTGGGGGTCAGAGGCACTGCTTTGTAGTGGTTCTGCTCCTACCTCAATGGCCGATTCCAGAAGGTGGTGCTGGGGGACTATGGCTCTGCCCCATGGCAACTATGCCATGGAGTACCGCAGGGGTCCATTTTGTCCCCTTTGCTGTTTAACATCTACATGAAACCGCTGGGAGAGGTCATCAGGAAGTGTGGGCTGCGGAACCATCAGTACGCTGATGATACCCAGCTCTACCTCTCGTTTTCCACCAATCCAGGTGAGGCAGTGGCTGTACTGAACCGGTGCCTGGCCGAGGTAATGGGCTGGATGAGGGCCAATAAACTGAAGCTCAATCCAGAAAAGACGGAGGTCCTGTTGGTTGGCGGATTGGGCTTCGGAGAGGGTGAATTGAACTTAGTCCTGAATGGGGTTGCACTCCCTCTTAGGGACAAGGTCCGCAGCCTGGGAGTGTTCTTCGACCCAGAGCTTTCATCGGAAGCTCAGGTGACAGCAGTGGCGAGGAGCGCTTTCCTTCAGCTTCGGCTGATCCATCAGCTGCGCCCCTACCTGGAGTACGACTGCCTGGCGACAGTGACACACGCACTGGTGACTTCCCGCCTTGACTTTTGTAACACGCTCTATGTGGGGCTACCCTTGAAGGTGGTCCGGATACTTCAATTGGTTCAAAATAGAGCTGCCAGGTTGCTGACGGGGACTGGGCGTTATGTTCACATGACTCCAGTCCTCCGTCAGCTTCACTGGCTTCCCATTGAAGTCCGGGCCCAATTCAAGGTGTTGGTGATGACCAATAAAGCCCTTAACGGCTTGGGTCCTGGTTACCTGAAGGAGCGCTTTCGTCCATATATGCCCGCCCGCCCCTTGAGATCTGCGGGAGAGGCCCTCCTCCGGGAACTCTCCGTGAAAGAAATTAGGAGGGTGGGTACTCGAAGGAGGGCTTTCTCTGCGGTGGCGCCCATTCTATGGAACGCGCTCCGCAGAGAGGTCCGCCTGGTGCCATCGTTATTTGTTTTTCGGCACCAGGCGAAGACCTTTTTATTTAAACATCATTTTAATTGTTAATATTATTTGCTTATTTTATCTGGCCAGGGTGACTTATTTTATATTGCCAATTTGTTGTATATTTGAATTTATTATATTTTAATTTATGTTGTGAGCCGCCCCGAGGCTTCGGCGAATGGGGCGGCATAGAAATGTTTTAAATAAATAAATAAATAAATAAATAAAAGCCTTCTCTCTGCATCCAAAGCTGTTGTTTGCTACAGGAGAAAAGCTTCCAGATGCTTCACTACAAAATATAATGAGCATGTGTGTCATCTTGCAGTACAACATTCTCAAACTTGGAATACTGGCCTATAGTTCCTATCATCCCCAGACAGCATACCCAGCTGTATTAGTATGCCTGTGCAGGGTTACTTTTACAAAGAGAATGGTAGTTTCTCTAGGTATTATAATGAAATAATGAAGCACTTTAATACTCCTCTTTAGTTCAGATAGATCAAGGAAATTAAGAGAGTTATCCTTTCTGTTTTTATCTGCCTCCTGCTGAAACCATCATAATTTGGACTTTGGGTTGTAAGCATCCAGATGCCAGATATCTGAGCAATTCCTCCTCAGCTAAAAGTGTTCTGCTTGCTTTGATATCCTCAGATAATTTACATTTAGATTCTCCAGGTCAAATCTTGTACTTTGTCATCTTGTCTATGTTTGCCTATGAAAAGCCCTGACTTCTTACATACACTGATGTGTCTGTTTCCCTTAAAGAAGGCAAATGCAGCAGCTCAAACAAAGTAACCTGATCAAAGCCTTCAGGTCAGGAAGGTTCCTGTGACAGCAGCTTCTGCGCAGGGGGTTACTGCCTAGGGAGGGGGCTTCCATCAACCTGACCCACTTCCTTTGTGAAGCACGCAGCTTCCTCCACATTTGCTTTCCTTACACTGAGAGGATAAAAGAAGCTTTCAATAGTGGAGCATAAAGGAGAAAAATCAGGCTGCAGAGTATGTATTTTGCCTCTCATATCCCTGCTACAAAAAAAGGGGGAAAAAAATAATGGGACCTCATTTGACAATGCAACATGCCCCATCTGAGCCACTGAAAGATCCTTTCCTGATTATTTGTAAAAACAAACAAAAAACTTTAAAAGGGAAAGCTGCATTGCAAACATCTCATGGACTTTGGTCCTACACCCAAAGATAAAGTGAGTAAGTGAGTGGTAAGTGAGATGTGAGAATTAATGTTAAAGGAAAATTTTATGTATAAAGCATGCATACATCTATATGTACTTCCAAAAGAAGGGAAGACATAAGGTTGAATAAGTGCCTCAGTAAACTTCTCTCTCTCTCTCTCTCTCTCCCTCTCCCTCTCCCTCTCCCTCTCCCTCTCCCTCTCCCTCTCTCTCTTTCTCTCTCTCTCTCATTACAGCAATATTTATTCTTCTGGTCAAGCTTCTCTTCAGTTACCTCTCACCTATGTGCTGAATTACAGAAGTATTAAATCCATATCTTGCATTTATGGTAGGCCAGCAGAATGTGCTTTGAAACAAATATGAATCAAAGGGCATCCTGACTTCCAGCCATGGCCCCACCTTTCCCTTCTCACACCCCACCAGCTAGCCACTTCATTTGGAGATCACTACCTGGCCCCTTTTCTGACCCACACATCAGAAAGCAGCCAGTCTTTATGAGCTGCTGTGCTTTGACCTATTCCTGAGCTCAATTAAAACCTTTCTTTTCCCCTGCAGCTGCTAAGGTTACTTTTCTGCTCCTTGGAACTGCCCATTCATCCAAGGAGTGCCAAGCACTCCATCTTCTTTTGATTGATTGCTATTTCCGAGTAGCAGAGGCAGGGACCAGGGCAGCGTTGGAATGGAAGGTCCTTTCCGTCCACGGCAGCAATAGAAATATGCTCCCTTGCACGTTGTTGCTGCAGGCAGCCGGCTAGGAGCACCTAGTAGTGAGGTTCTCCATGGTTGGTTCCATTTCTTACCATGTTGTGGGTCGCAGCAGGATTCCAAAGTGCTCAGTAAGATTTTCCCCAAGGCACGCTTAGATATGTTCTTTAAAACACAAAATAATATTAAGGAACATTTAACTTTAGCATAGGCTCATACGCATGCATCTAAATAGAAGCACATAAACAATTGCTTCCCAACCCAGTGGAAAGGCTCCAACTCTCTTTCTGACAGGAAGCTACCGCATGCTGTTATCTTGGATAAGCTAAATGCATCAATGGGATTTATGGTTGACATTCATTCTTCTTTGCCAAGCTTTGAACAAAAGATGAATACAAAAATGAAGTTTCAAGGGATAATAACTATGCAATGATGCAAATGTACACCTGGATAGCTATCTACAGATATAAATTAGTATCACAGAGAGATATAATGAATGTTTTTTTAGGTAAGAAGCGTATCGCTCTTAGTATATTAAGCAGTATGCAAGCATACTAGTAAAATAATAAATAATATACAGAGAGATGTACTTTTCCCTGTGCTTTCTCTTCAACACATTACGCTCATAAAACCTACACACCGGGGTGGTGTGTGAACCAGACCATTGTCATCACTCTCTTTGGGCTACTCTCTTTGCACACACAGTTCTGAAACAGGGAAGATCTTTGCCTCATCTACGTTTGGATGGAGTGCTCTACTGAGATTATCAGTCAAGTAGTTTGACAGATCTTTGGAGCTTCAGGCAGTAATTTTTTGAAAAGTTTTCATCTTGTATCTAGGTAGACCAAGATAACATAGAGTGAAGTGAAGGAATGCATGAAAGAGGGACGTAAAAGGTATCCACAAGTGAGGAACGGGGGATAAGCTATTGTGCAGGATACAGAGGTAGTTTTGATGTCCAGGTGGATCAAATCCCTAGACATTCATGCATTTATATATTCCTATCCATCAGTGGGAGGTGGTTGCTCTTATAAAGTGATGACAGTACCATTCAGTTACATATTACAGAACAGAAGCTTACAAAGTTACTTATGACTTCTTGCCATCTAGATTCTTAGAACCTTGATATACATTCATGAAATTCTTTCCAGTGTGCTGTAAGTCATACTATTCATCACCAGCTTTTACCACCACCCTGAGCTAGGATACATGACAGCATACAAGGTTCACAGCTCTGTTTCCACAATGGTGTGGCAGGTGCTTTGATGGATTGTCTACTAAGCTGGCATGTTTTTCAGTCAGACCACCAGTCATTGAGAGGCATGTCAGAATTCTGACACCAAAGGCAGCAATACCTCCTGCCAATCATAATCAGTCAAGGACCTTTAAAAATAGATCCCTCATAGGATTATATTGATCCCAAGTGTAAGCAGTGCCACATGGACAGCATCAGAGGCTTGTCACGTGGGAAAGTGTGTTAATATCATAGGAGAACAGACATTTGTTCCCCAGGCCCATCAGCAGGAGCCAGGTATATTTTAGGATGATAAAGCATTCAGCAGATCCAGTCACATTTGCAATAAATAACTGTCTTGCATGTACTTGGAAACAAAAGGGACTCCTGGATCCAGTGCAAGTAAATTTGTGATGTATACAATTTATCATGTCCTATGTTGGCTTTTAACATCTAATGCCTCGTTTCTCAACCAATATTACTGCAATTCCTATAAATGAGCAATGGAAGTAACATTCAAAATGTATCCACCCTTTACATCTTGGTTCTTACAATATATCTTGCGATTTGCAATATTTTTTGGTTAGCTGGTATGTGAAATTAATCAGCTTACTAAAACTGTCTTCATCAGTTTGTTAGTAATAAAGAGTCAGTTCCTTGGCATGGGTTAAAGTCGATTACATTGTGTCCCTTGGGAATTTGCTCTGAATATTTTACTAAGCACTGTGTTGAGTACTGGATGATAACAGAGTTCAGGTCTAGACAGGAGAGACAGGAAACCTGAGAAAGAAGAGTAAAGCAGCAGGAGGAGATATTTTAAAACCTAGAATGGCTTCTGGGTGCTTTTCTTGCATTATTTAACCAGTTCAGTTGCACATGTTAAAACCTGTTAAAATCAATGGAGTAAGTCAGCGGAAGCTAACTGGTTTAAAAAGTTTCCAGAATGCATGACACAAGGTCTAGAACCAGGAACCCTAGGCTTAGCTTATAGCCATCTTGTGTAGTGAGTCAGTAGAACTAAATAATCAATTGAAGCTGCGACAACCCAGATTCAGGCTAGATAATCAGGAAAAGTTTCTACACTGTCAGAGCAATTTGACAGTGGAACCAGCTGTCTACTCTTCTATGATTCCAAGATTCAGACCAAGTCCCTGGGCACTGAAGCACCCTCAGGCTCTAGTTTGCCCCTGTTCACCTAAGCTCACTGCTGGTCCCTTAGAAAGAGGAAGGGCTTCCTGCTTGGACTGGGCCTTTGCCTGAATAACAATGGGTTTTAGGCTTCAAAGTGCTTCAGGTTATGATTCTATTCTGAATCCTTGCTTGATCACTCATCTCCACCCAACTAACTTCTGGACTTGGGCCTCAAATTTTCAGCAAAAATATGGCCTAAAAGCCTTTGTACCAAAACTCTCCCTCTCCTATACCATGATGTCTAAGCATAAAATCAATATGCTTCATGTTTGCCCAAGTCACCTCTAGGTAGATATGTCTTAATAACATAATGCTCCATGAATTCATATTTTTGTACATCTCATGGTTCTAAAATGAGTAAATACTTTGCAAATGGAGGAGAAAAAAATTTTTTTTTTTGAAAAACTAGATTAGAAGTGGTTATTATTCCATGCCTGGTATATTCTGCAGCATACCTCAGATGAGCCAAGAAGCAGTAGCTCCATTAGGATGAACAGTTTTAAAAATATCCATGACATCAGGAGAAATGAATTATACATTCCCAGCCACCTTTGTGCCTGGAGCCATGTTTGCAGGTGGGGTTTTTTGTGGTGTTTTTGCTTTTTGTTTTTTGGTACCCTGCAGGATATCTGCATAACCATTTATCCTCATGGGCATTCATGTGAGCTTATAAACAGAAAAGGCTCTGTTTAAATTTCACAACAGCCTGTCATTTGAAGAGCATTTTCTTTTTCCTAATTTTCTTTCTGTGAATGGTATGCACTGTGTTCCCCAGAACATGCAGGAAAATCGCTCCCTGTCACTGTCTCTCTTTTTAAAGTTTCCTTTAGGAATGAAATTGACTAGAATGGAAGCTGTTTACAACCTGAACTAGCCAATTTCACACTCTATTAAACTTTTATGGGAGGGCTGAAATAGGAAAACAGGACAGCGAGCAGCCTTTCCCCACAGCAACTGGACTCTCCGCTGCAACTGCCCATCTATTATGCATGCAGAGTACTGGTGCTGCATCAAGCCTGGCATTATGGCAGGGCTCATGGCAAAGCTGCCCCCTTTTGCTTGGTGTGTTTTAAAAGGGAAAGCAGGGATCTCAGAAGGATATGGAAACTGCCTGACTGCTTCGTTTTTGCTTTTCTCTTCCCCAGATGCTTTGTACACACCTGGGAGTCACAGCTAGTGTTTGCAGCAGGTAGGAAAACGGCAGCTTAAAGGAAGGGAGAGCAGGCAAGAAGGGGTGGGTAAAAGACTACGAACTCCTCCTCTAGCTACTTCTCCTTCCTCTTCATTATTTCACTGAGAACTCAATTTCCTAGACCTGCGTCTTCAGCAAACGTTTGGTTTAACCATACTTAAGGAGAACCTTCATAATCACTAAGTACCCAAATTAAATCATCACTATTGCTAAGCAACATCTCTTATAAAGAAGGAAGGATGGACGGACAGAAGAAGGGAAGAGCAACCTTTGAAAACAAACATTATGGCATCTTCTGTACTTCGTTAAAATAAACTTTGTAAATGCTTCCAGTACTGTCCATAACTGCACAGACTGCTTGCAAAAATGTGCCAGCAAATTGTTTTTATAGTCATTTTAATGTCATTACTATATTGTTTTAAAGTTTAATATGGTTTCCGCACTTTAGCGAGAAATGTTGAACATTGCCTTGGTGGCATCAGTAGAAAGGTGGTATATAAATGATCAAAATAATCCACGAACAGTACTTTCAAGTGTTTCCCCTGCATCATTTAGTGGGAATCCTACAACACCCTGTGAGTTAAGACCATACTATTAAGTCCTGCAGTGCAGATGGAGGTCCTGAGGCTGAAGAGAGTGTCTTGCTCAAGGCCACCTGGAGACTTTATGGAAGACAAAAGGCACTAACCAGGGACTGATGCCTCAGTTTTTCACACAAGCCCAGTGCATACAGCTGTAGTCTCACAGCTTGGGATGTGTGAGAATCTGTTTGGGGGTGAGAATCCACTGGATTCCCTGGGCTGGCTCCCTGGTCTCCAGTCGCTTTGCAGCAGCTCAGGGTCGAGTTCCTGGTGAGTGGACCCAGCATTCAGGGGCCAGGAATTGAGCCCCACACTCTGTGCAAGCAGTGCCCCTTTCCCCCACACAGTGGTGCCAGTGGTGGTGGCAGCAGCAGCAGCAGCAGGGAGTGCGGCTGGCTTCCAGGAAGCAGGGCTGGCACACCCTCCTGGAGCACCTCTTTCGTGCACATGCCACTGCTGGCAGCGGCAAGTGGGGAAGAAGGACGGTCCCTGGAAACGGCGGCTGGGGCACCCACGCACAGTGCCCCCTTTTCACATCCAGCGGCAACTCCTGATGGGGAAGGTTGCCGGCTGTGCAACCAGCTGTCCACAAGCTTTCTCAGACTTCCTCCACTTCTTCCTAGCTCAGCTCACTTTGCAGGGCTGGGTGGAGCACGAGAGGGACGAGGGAGCACGAGAGGCACGAGAGGGACAGAGTGCGAAAGTGTTTGCACCAACCCTGGTGGGCACTGCACGGTACTGCACTGGGGAACAGGTTGAGACTCCTCCGAAACAATCCCTCCTAGGGAGCACGGGGAGCCTGTCTGTCTCTGATGAGAAGTCATCCGTCTGGATCTTTTGGCTTTCCTTTTCTAATGCAGCCACTTACAGCCAAGGTTTCCTGTGGCAAACCCAACATGACAACAAGGACCTTATAAAAAGCTACAAAAGCAGTCCATTACTATGGAGGGCTCTGCATCAAAACTTG